TACAGGCCCTTTGGCCCTCAATGTTGCGCCGACCTGTGAAACCAATCTGAAGCCCATCTAACCTACACTATTCCATTATCATCCATATGTTTATCCAATGACCATTTAAATGCCCTTAAAGTGGGCGAGTCTACTATTTTTGCAGGCAGGGCATTCCACGCCCTTACTACTCTCTGAGTAAAGAACCTACCTCTGACATCTGTCCTATATCTATCACCCCTCAATTTAAAGCTATGTCCCCTCATGCTAGCCATCACCATCCGAGGAAAAAGGCTCCCACTGTCCACCCTCTCTAATCCTCTGATCATCTTGTATGTCTCTATTAAGTCACCTCTTAACCTTCTTCTCTCTAATAAAAACAGCCTCAAGTCCCTCAGCCTTTCCTCATAAGACCTTCCCTCCATACCAGGCAACATCCTGGTAAATCTCCTCTGCACCCTTTCCAATGCTTCCACATCCTTCTCATAATGTGGCGACCAGAACTGTACGCAATACTCCAAGTGCGGCCTCACCAGAGTTTTGTACAGCTGCAACATGACCTCATGGCTCCGAAACTCAATCCCTCTACCAATAAAACCTAACACACCGTACGCCTTCTTAACAACCCTATCAACCTGGGTGGCAACTTTCAGGGATCTATGCACGTGGACACCGAGATCTCTCTGCTCATCCACACCACCAAGAATCTTACCATTAGCTCAGTACTCTGTATTCCTGTTACTCCTTCCAAAGTGAATCACCTCACACTTTTCCTCATTAAACTCCATTTGCCACCTCTCAGCCCAGCTCTGCAGCTTATCTATGTCCCTCTGTAACCTGCAACATCCTTCCACACTATCCACAACTCCACCGACTTTAGTGTCATCCGCAAATTTACTAACCCATCCTTCTACGCCCTCATCCAGGTCATTTATAAAAAGTGACAAACAGCAGTGGCCCCAAAACAGATCCTTGAGGTACACCACTAGTAACTGAACTCCAGGATGAACATTTCCCATCAACCACTACCCTCTGTCTTCTTACAGCTAGCCAATTTCTGATCCAGACCGCTAAATCACCCTCAATCCCATGCCTCCGTATTTTCTGCAATAGCCTACCGTGGGGAACCTTATCAAACGCTTTACTGAAATCCATATACACCACATCAACCGCTTTACCCTCATCCACCTGTTTGGTCACCTTCTCAAAGAACTCAATAAGGTTTGTGAGGCATGACCTACCCTTCACAAAACTGTGTTGACTATCCCTAATCAAATTATTCTTTTCTAGATGATTATAAATGCTACCTGTTATAATCCTTTCCAACACTTTACCCACAACCGAAGTAAGGCTCACTGGTCTATAATTACCAAGGTTGTCTCTACTCCCCTTCTTGAACAAGGGGTCAACATTTTCTATCTTCCAGGCTTCTGGCACTATTCCTGTAGACAATGACGACATAAAGATCAAAGCCAAAGGCTCTGCAATCTCCTCTCTAGCTTCCCAGAGAATCCTAGGATAAACCCCATCCGGCCCAGGGGACTTATCTATTTTCACACTTTCCAGAATTGCTAACACCTCCTCCTTATGAACCTCAATCCCATCTAGTCTAATAGCCTGTATCTCAGTATTCTCCTCGACAACTTGTCTTTTTCCTGTGTGAATACTGACGAAAAATATTCATTTAGCGCCTCTCCTATCTCTTCGGGCTCCACGCACAACTTCCCACTACTGTCCTTAACTGGCCCTAATCTTACTCTAGTCATTCTTTTATTCCTGACATACCGATAGAAAGCTTTAGGGTTTTCCTTGATCCTACCTGCTAAAGACTTCTCATGTCCCCTCCTGGCTCTTCTTAGCTCTCTCTTTAGGTCCTTCCTGGCTAACTTGTAACTCTCAAGCGCCCTAACTCAGCCTTCACGCCTCACCTTTACATAAGCCTCCTTCTTCCTCTTGACAAGAGATTCAACTTCTTTAGTAAACCACGGTTCCCTCTCTCGACCACTTCCTCCCTGCCTGACAGGTACATACTTATCAAGGACACGCAGTAGCTGTTCCTTGAACAAGCTCCACATTTCAGTTGTGCCCAGCCCCTGCAGTTTCCTTCTCCATCCTATGCATCCTAAATCTTGCCTAATCGCCTCATAATTGCCTTTCCCCCAGCTATATCTCTTACCCTGCGGTATATACCTATCCCTTTCCATCGCTAAAGTAAACGTAACCGAATTATGGTCACTATTACCAAAGTGCTCACCTACCTCCAAATCTAACACCTTGCCTGGTTCATTACCCAGTACCAAATCCAATGTGGCCTCGCCTCTTGTTGGCCTATCTACATACTGTGTCAGGAAACCCTCCTGCACACATTGGACAAAAACTGACCCATCTGAAGTACTCGAACTATAGCGTTTCCAGTCAATATTTGGAAAGTTAAAGTCCCCCATAACAACTACCCTGTTACTTTTGCTCCTATCCAGAATCATTTTTGCAATCCTTTCCTCTACATCTCTGGAACTTTTTGGAGGCCTATAGAAAACTCCCAACAGGGTGACCTCTCCTTTCCTGGTTCTAACCTCAGCCCATACTACCTCAGTAGTCAAGTCCTCATCAAACGTCCTTTCTGCCACCGTAATACTGTCCTTGACTAACAATGCCACACCTCCCCCTCTTTTACCACCTTCCCTGATCTTACTGAAACATTTAAACCCCGGAACCTGCAACAATCATTCCTGTCTCTGCTCTATCCATGTCTCCGAAATGGCCACAACATCGAAGTCTATCTGTTTTCTGGGTACTATAGGACGCAGCAACACACTAGGCCATAAAGAAACAAATCTGGGCCTGTGATTCCCAAATGGTTAAGTTACGGATTGACAAAAGTGAGAACCTTTCCATGGGGTTGGGGGGTAAGTTGAAGGATGAGTCGGCCCATTCCATTTCATTCCATTTCAAGATTTATCAGACTGATTCAGAGATGGTAAGAACTGCCGATGCTGAAGTCAGAGATAACACAGTGTGGAGCTGGAGGAACACAGCAGGCCAGGCAGCATCAGAGGAGCAGGAAAGTTGATGTTTCGAGCCAGGACCCTTCTTCAGTAGAAGGGTCCTGACCTGAAACGTCAACTTTCCTGCTCCTCTAATGATGCCTGGCCTGCTGTGTTTCTCCAGCTCCACACTGTGTTATCTTTATCAGACTGATTCCTGGGATGTCAGGACTAACATATTAAGAGAGACTGGATCAGTTAAGAGTTTAGAAGAGGGTGGATCCTACAGAGATTTATAAAATTCTAATAGATCTAGACAGGGTAAAGGCAGGAAGGATGTTCCCAATGATCAAGGAGTCCAGAACCAGGGGGCGCAGTCAAAGAGTACACAGTAGAACTGAGATGAGGAGAGATTTCTTCACCCAAAGACTGGTGAACCTGTGGGATTCTGTGCCACAGAAAGTGGTTGAGGCCAAAACATTGAATGTTTCAAGAAGGAGTTAGGTGCAGGCTAAAGCGATCAAAGGGTGTTGGGAGGAGGCAAGAAGAGGGTACTGAGTTGGATGATCATAATTGGATGGCAGAGTAGGCTCAGAGCTGAATGGCCTATTCCTGCTCCTATTTTCTGTGTTTCCATGCACCTGCACACATGCTCGGTGTAGTGATTGTAACAAGGTCAGCCACGTGGACCACATAGAATATGAGTTCCCTGATTGGGGCTGTTAACCTGATCCAATCAGGGTGTCTTGATTGAAAGATAAAAACAGGAGTGTCAGAGGTTCTGTTCACTCTGAGAGCTGGTTCTGAGGGAGCTGGATCAGTGTCAAGTACTATGTACGTGTGAATAAAGGGTGACTTGGTGATGGGATACCAGCCTCTGTGGAGTTCTTTCAACTGGGGACTCCCAGTGTGCTGTTGGCCAAGACCCTGAAGTAGTATCATGAGGAGGCTAATAAAGAGAGGGCAGAACAAGAGGTTGGATCGAGACAGCACTAACGTGTTGAAGAGGAAGAGAGATTTTGGATTCTAACCTTCTGATGGCTAATTTCGAGACATCTTGCTGCAAAGAACTCACTTTGAAATAGGAATTTCCATCTGGAATTCTTCCCACCAATCATACTCTCAGGTTCTGTTCCTGAAATTTCTCCAAACTCTCTTTGGGCTGGAATTCTGAAAATGTTGAAGGATGGGATAGCACATAATGGTGCTGGCTATGTCTTCTCTAGAGTCTGAAAGAATGAGAGGTAATCTCATTGAAACCTCCAAATCTCTGAAAGGGATAGACAGGGTAGATGCAGGTTAAAATGTTCTCCCTAGTTGGGAGTCTGGAACCAAGGACACGATTTAATAATAAGACAGATACAGTTTAAGACCAAGATGAGGAGAAATTGTTCACTCCAAGAGTTGTGAATCTATGGAAATCTCCACCCAGGAGGGCTGTGGAAGCTCAGTCTTTGTGTATGTTTAGAGTAGAAGTTGCTGGATTTCTGGTAACCAATGGCATAAAGTGCAGTGGGCATATTTTAGTTAAAAGGCATTGAAATGTATGATCAGCCATAATGTGCTAAATGGTGGAGCAGATTCGATGGACTGAATGGCCCACTCGTATTCCTATGGAATTTGAGAAATTGTGTTTAAGTTATCAGTCTTTATTTATGATTTCTAAAGGCAATCTCAATAAGGAACACATTCAGAATCACATCACAAAAGCCATGCTGCAAAAAGCAATTCTTGGAGAAATATTTTTTGTTTAATTCATGCATGGGATGATCATCATTAGACTCTTAACTCCAGATTTTATTTTCCCGAAATTCCACCACTTCCCGTGGCAGGATTTGAATCCAGGTCCCCAGAACATTGCCTGATATTTCCTGATGGATAATACCATTATGCCATTGCATCCCTTAAATATGCTTGTTGAAGTATTGCTAAAAACATTAAAGTCTCAACAGAAACACAGAGAATCCAAGTGATTTGATCACAAAATGATTTGGAAATTATCTTTTGACTCCCTTTCCTCCTGCTTTTTTTTTTCAGCTTTCTGTTGACAACCGTGGCCTTACTCTCCTCCTATTCCATTCACTTGCTTCTGAAAGCTTCTGGTGTGGTCGGTAAGTATTTTTTAAACATGGACTTTCTCTATGCGGCACTTTTTCTGAAGGAGAGGAAATCACCCAACTTTAATTTACTGAAGAATGCATTGAACACAAATGCATCTGGGTTAGGAATTTCCTTTGATGTTATTTTATGTTAGTGATGGAGGCCACGTCGACAGTTGGCTGTTTGGTCATTTTCCAAAGGCAAATTTGCAGGATGCCCTCCCACACGTCCCTGTGACACCAGGATTTGCTAAGCCCCAGGAATCTAGGATTAATCTTTCATCAGGCAGAGAGATAGATCAGAGAGCCATTCAAAGTGTTTGTGGGCTTTTTCTTCTTCTCTGAATACCGGGTGGGAGGCAGAAGGACATAGGGTGAAACCGTCAGGCATACATGCAGCCATCTGATAGCAACTCGAGGGTTAACAGAGGCCCCTGATCGGGGCCTTGCTGTCTGCTTCCACTGACAATTTGCTGCATAGTTTAACTGCATACCCTAATTTAGTTCCCATATATTAACGTGCCATCATTAGACTGAGAGTGATGCTGGACAACATACTCACAGGCCTTTATCTTTGACATTTAGAATCATAGAATCCGTTCAGTGCAGAAGGAGGCCATTTGACACATTACACCCAGACCCAGACACCCCCACCCTATCCCTGTAGCCATGGCTAACCCATCTGCCCTGCACATCCCTGGACACTATTGGACAATTTTTACAATGGCCAATGCACCAAACTTGCACATCTTTGGACTGTGGGAGGAAACTAGAGCACCCGGAGGAAACCCATGCAGACACATGTGTAAACTCCGCACCACCAGTCAGTCAAGTTTGGATTCAAATCTGGGTCCCTCGCACTGTGAGGCAGTAGGGCTAACAACTGAGCCACTGTGCCACCCCCAAGACATGAATCTTGTTCAGACCAAGCAGTAGGCTGCCTGAAGAGTAGATGCTGAAGTCAGCTCTTTAATAGCAATGCCAGTGCAACGGGACCCTCATGACCACGTCCAGAGTTTATAAAACAGGAGACTTTGTGAGATTTTGACTGATCTGGCACAGTCCAATAAATATTTTGGAGAGGGTTACACCAAAACCCAATGGATTTTTAACTTGGGTATCCTTCCTGTTAAAAACGTTACTAAACATTATCCATTCCCCTCTTCCCTATTTCATCCATGAGATCGGATGCGCCCCCTGCAGATATGATGGGACAGGCCTCATTGCAGTGTCTTTTGTTTGTGCTGTACACTTTTGAAGTATCCAGGTACATTGTCTGATAACTCTGCACCTCATTTGCTGCAATTTCAATAACTTTTCCCTCATTCACTCAGGAATCCGTGCATATGAACAGCTCGGTCTGCGGGCTTTTGGGACTCCTGGAAAGTTAGCAGCTGCTGTAGCGATTACCCTGCAGAATATTGGCGGTAAGAAGTTTAGCACGTTCCACAGGATTAAGACTGGGTAATTGTCTTTCAGTGATGTTAAAATGGGGACAAAGGATATATCATTGTACATGCAGTGTGTAGAAAACTGAAAAGATAATGCCATGTTTAAGAGGCTGCAGTATTTCCATTACTTTACTGAGGACATTTAGGTGTAAAAAGCTATTACTGGGACAAAACTACACTTGAAAGTAACACCCTGAAAATGTCAAGAGGGAAAATCTTGCTGTTGGCTGCTGTACCTGTTCCAGACTGATTGAGACTGGGGATCTATGGAATTCACTGACCTAGAGGGGTGTGAACACTCATTCATTCAGTACAATCAAGACAAGATCATAAAGTCCCTACAGTGTGGAAAGAAGCCATTTGGCCTGCTCCAACTGTCCGAAAAGTATCCCACCCAAACCTAACCCCCATACCCCATGTTTATCATGGCCAGCCCATCTAGCCTGCGAGAGGAAGCCAGAGCACCCAACACAGACACAGGGAGATCATACAAACTGAACACAAGCAGATACCCAAGGGTGGAATTGAACCTGGATCCTTGGGGCTGGAAGGTAGTAGCTACTATGCCACCCCAAATCTTTAAGCACCCAGAATCGAGGGACACTGTTGGCATGTGAGGAGGCATCGAGTTGACATAAAAGTCCCATCATGATGTTATTGAGTGGCTGAGCAGGCACCAAGGGCCACATGGTACACCTCTTGTTTGTGTGTTGTCAAATGATCTCAATCCCTGCTTTTATCCTTCTGTCACTGAGGCATTAGTTCAGAGATAGCAAGGTTGGTATTAGAACAAAGAACAAAGAAAATTACAGCACAGGAACAGGCCCTTTGGCCCTCCAAGCCTGCGCCGATCCAGATCCTCTATCTAAACCTGTCACCTATTTTCCAGGGATCTGTATCCCTCTGCTCTCTGCCCATTCATGCATCTGTCTAGATACATCTTAAATGACGCTATCGTGCCCACCTCTACCAGCTCCGCTGGCAACGCGTTCCAGGCACCCACCTCCCTCTGTGTAAAGAACTTTCCACGCATATCTCCCTCAAACTTTTCCCCTCTCACCTTGAAATCGTGACCCCTAGTAATTGAGTCCCCCACTCTGGGAAAAAGCTTCTTGCTATCCACCCTGTCTATACCTCTCATGATTTTGTAGACCTCAATCAGGTCGCCCCTCAACCTCCATCTTTCTAATGTAAATAATCCTAATCTACTCAACCTCTCTTCATAGCTAGCGCCCTCCATACCAGGCAACATCCTGGTGAACCTCCTCTGCACCCTCTCCAAAGCATCCACATCCTTTTGGTAATGTGGCGACCAGAACTGTACACAGTATTCCAAATGTGGTTGAACCAAAGTCCTATACATCTGGAACATGACCTGCCAACTCTTGTATTCAATACCCCGTCCGATGAATGAAAACATGCCGTATGCCTTCTTGACCACTCTATCGACCTGCATTGCCACCTTCAGGATACAATGGACCTGAACACCCAGATCTCTCTGTGCATCAATTTTCTCCAGGGTTTTTCCATTTACCATATAGTTTGCTCTTGAATTGGATCTTCCAAAATGCATCACCTCGCATTTGCCTGGATTGAACTCCATCTGCCATTTCTCTGCCCAAATCTCCAACCTATCTATATTCTGCTGCATTCTCCGCCAGTCCCCTTCACTATCTGCTACTCCACCAATCTTATTGTCATCTGCAAACTTGCTAATCAGACCATCTATACCTTCCTCCAGATCATTTATGTGTATCACAAACAATAGTGGTCCCAACACAGATCCCTGTGGAACACCACTGGTCACAGTTATCCATTTTGAGAAACTCCCTTCCACTACAACTCTCTGTCTCCTGTTGCCCAGCCAGTTCTCTATCCATCTAGCTAGTACACCCTGGACCCCATGCGACTTCACTTTCTCCATCAGCCTACCATAGGGAACTTTATCAAACATCTTACTGAAGTCAATGTATATGACATCTACAGCCCTTCTCTCATCTATCAACTTTGTCACTTCCTCAAAGAATTCTATCAAGTTGGTAAGACATGACCTTCCCTGCACAAAATCATGCTGCCTATCACTAATAAGCCCATTTTCTTCCAAATGTAAATAGATCCTATCCCTCAGTATCTTCTCCAGCAGCTTCCCCACCACTGACATCAGGCTCACCGGTCTATAATTACCTGGATTATCCTTGCTACCCTTCTTAAACAAGGGGACAACATTAGCAATTCTCCAGTCCTCCAGGACCTCACCTGTGCTCAGGGGTGCTGCAAAGATATCTGTTAAGGCCCCAGCTATTTCCTCTCTCGCTTCCCTCAGTAACCTGGGATAGATCTCATCCGGACCTGGGGACTTGTCCACTCTAATGCCTTTTAGAATACCCAACACTTCCCCCTCCTTATGCTGACTTGACGGAGAGTAATCAAACGTCTATCCCTAACCTCAACATCTGTCATGTCCCTCTCCTCAGTGAATACCAACGCAAAGTACTATTAAGAATCTCACTCATTTTCTCTGACTCCACGCATAACTTCTGTCCTTTGTCCTTGAGTGGGCCAGCCCTTTCTCCAGTTACCCTTTTGCTCCTTATGTATGAATAAAAGGCTTTGGGATTTTCCTTAACCCTGTTTGCTAAAGATATTTCATGACCCCTTTTAGCCCTCTTAATTCCTCGTTTCAGCTTGGTCCTACTTTCCCAATATTCTTCCAAAGCTTCGTCTGTTTTCAGTCGCCTAGACCTTATGTATGCTTCCTTTTTCCTCTTTGCTAGTCTCACAATTTCACCTGTCATCCATGGTTCCCTAATCTTGCCCTTTCTATCCCTCATTTTCACAGGGACATGTCTGTCCTGCACTCGAATCATCCTCTCTTTAAAAGCATCCCACATATCAAATGTGGATTTACCCTCAAACAGCTGCTCCCAATCACATTCCCCAGCTCCTGCCGAATTTTGCTATAGTTGGCCTTTCCCCATTTCAGCACTCTTCCTTTCGGACCACTCTCGTCTTTGTCCATCAGTATTCTAAAACTTAAGGAATTGTGATCACTATTCCCAAAGTAATCCCCTACTGAAACTTCAACCTCCTGGCCGGGCTTATTCCCCAACACCAGGTCCAGTATGGCCCCTTCCCGAGTTGGACTATTTACATACTGCTCTAGAAAATCCTCCTGGATGCTCCTTACAAATTCTGCTCCATCTAAACCCCTAACACTAAGTGAATCCCAGTCAATGTTAGGAAAATTAAAATCTCCCATCACCACCACCCTGTTGCTCCTACATCTTTCCATAATCTGTCTACATATTTGTGCCTCTCTCTCACGCTTGCTGTTGGGAGGCCTGTAGTACAGCACCAACATTGTTACTGCACCCTTCCTATTTCTGAGCTCTGCCCATATTGCCTCACTGCTCGAGTTCTCCATAGTGCCCTCCTTCAGCACAGCTGTGATATCCTCTTTGACCAGTAATGCACCTCCTCCACCCCTTTTACCTCCCTCTCTATCCTGTCTGAAGCATCTATATCCTGGGATATTTAGTTACCAATCTTGCCCTTCCCTCAACCAAGTCTCAGTAATAGCAATAATATCATACTCCCAGGTACTAATCCAAGCCCTAAGTTCATCTGCCTTACCTACTACACTTCTCGTATTAAAACAAATGCACCTCAGACCACTTGTCCCTTTGCGTTCATCATCTGCTCTCTGCCTCCTCTTCCCCTTAGTCACACTGAATTCATTATCTAGTTCCTTACAGGCTTTAGTTACTACCTCCTTACTGTCCACTAACCTCCTCATTTGGTTCCCATCCCCCTGCCACATTAGTTTAAACCCTCCCCAACAGCGTTGGGGGACATTGTATTACTTTTAGTGAGGGCACGGCATGGGAAAGCTGACCTTCACCCAGAATGTTAACTCCTTAACTCAGAGAGAAAGAGGTGGTTCTTAATTTTCCAAAAGAGATCCATTCACAGTGCATAGAACGACTGACCTCCAATCCTCACATTGGCAGCTCAGAGTATACTGAGCTTTAATTCCCGATTCAGCTGCTCTTCCTTTATATCCATAGGCTGTAAAAGACTGTTTCCATAGCAGCACTGGCAAGGAGCCTTTGTATTAATGATATAATGGAAGGCCTGATTTTTTCCACAATTGACACAATCTCATTTTCAGAAATCGCCTGTTTATTTTGTGTCTATTTCCTTGATTTTGTCATTGCAGAGAAAAATGAGCATTTATTCTTGTGCTTGTTCAAAGAAAGATTTTAACCTCTCCTCCCCCAATCTCCATCTCGTAGAGCTCCTCTAACTGATGTGTTACAGCCTTGCGGTAGACACCACACAAAGGAAGCTGCCTGGATAATAGCCAGGATATAACAACCAGCCAACATATAGTACCTCACTGCCTTGCATTGGAATTACGTACCTATTGATTATTAGTACAGTACACACCATAACAACTGCACCTTTCAAACTGATCTCAAGTTGACTCTTTCTAATTATATTGTGCAATTACGATTAATTCCAAGTAATGATTATTTCGTACGTAGCTCCAGTATCATACAGCATCTGTGAATTCCTTACGTGTGCATAATTCAATTAAACCTGCTCACTGCATAAACATTATTCCTTTATGGCAGAAGTGTTTCAGATATACATTCTTGTTGATGCTCTTCTCTTTGTTTAAGAGTGTGAGAATACAGCAGTGTTATCTATGAACCCAGACTCTGACAATTCCACCTGACAATCCACCATTCATAGCAGATTGCTACTGAATGGTTTTTTTTTGGGTCCTGCACGTGTTCATTGATATATACAAATATCACTTGTATAAAGTGTGTTCTAATGCTATGGACCAGACCAGAGCCCCTTAAAAATATTTTAAGAAGGTAGCCTAGACCCTAACTTTTTCTTATTTTAAAGGCAAATATAATGTGCCTCAGATGTAATGTGTCTGGTCAAACTACTCGACATCAAGCAAAACACAATTTATTTAAACTGTAGTTACAATACAACCAAAGAAGGAGGAATTTAGATTACATTAACTCTATTGGAAACTTAATGGAATAAGAGGTAAAGTAATCACAGTTCATTAACTGTTCCAATGCAGTAGCATCCTATAAAGACACCTATTGGCAAAAAATGGAAAATTCAAGACACTGTTTCCTCCTGTATGTGAGAATCTAACTTCAAAGACAATTCAGAGAGTGTAGCAGCTAGGAGACATTCCCTGAAGCTTCCAACTCTTTTGAGACCCCAATAGCTTCTGCTTAAAACTAAACCCAAAAACTAAAATAAGAAACTAGAAAGCCTGGTCTGCGAGAACTGGCCACACCCAGGCTGCTTCAAAAAAAAGCCCCAAGGCATCACAAGTTGGTAACTTTCTTAGAGACAGCTCTAAGCCTTACAACTTCTCTTAAAAAAACAGGATAAAATAACCTCTTAAAGTGATAGCATTGTCACACTAATAGCGTGCGTACATTTTAGTCGGCTCAGTAAATTAGGGACCTTTCCCAATGGCAACACTGCTATTTCAGCACAGTTACCGAGCATGCTTAGACTTATTTCTTGAAACAAGCTATCACTTTGTCACTTCCCACTCTGACCTCATGCTCTGTACTTTTCCCTGCTGCTCCATTGGACTCTCCTCTTCCCTGCCGCTGTGCATCAAGGCATTGAGAAGGGGCGACCGAAGGAGGGAGCGGGTGAAGTTATGACTGGGAGCGGCTGGGAGGTGTCGACAGTGAAGATTGGGGGTAAGGAGGTAGCATGCTAGAAAGAGTGAGAGGGAGAACATGGAGGGCAGTGGTGAGAGGTGGGCTGGACAAGTACAGAGTGAGCCTGTACAGAGTCGGGTAGGGAAAGGGGTGATCAGGAAGGGTCAGTGAATGGGAGGGTGACGAGTGTTGGAGAGAGACAGGGAGTATCAGGACAGGCAAGTGAACGGGAGGGAAGCAACAAGCTTAAAGAACTCCGGAGACCAGGAGCCAATGAGAAGTAGTTGAAAAAAGATTGCAAGGTCAAGGGTTGGAGAGCAAACCTGCTGTTGGAGCCTGGGTACTACCATCCCCAACCACTGCCCATTCTGGTACCCATGGAGTGCAGCAGGAGGGAGGCCATCTCCATGTAGCACATGGCCTACCCAGATGATTTGGAGTTGGTTCCCACACTGGTATGATGCTGATGGCACTATATAATGATGTTACCCAGCTGCCCACTCCGGGTGGCAACCTCACCATATTCTGACCTATGTTGATAAAATGTTCCAAAAGGACCCGGTTCCCTGTGATTTGATGGTTCATGTGCCTCCCAACTTCCTTTCCAAATGTTTATACAGTTCAGATTTTCAAAAAACTACATCTTAAGATGGTGAGGTGCCCACTCCCACTGCCGTGGTTCATTGTTGGGATTTGAGCAGCAAATTCACTCTAATGCCTTTTGTCTGCTTTCAGCCATGTCCAGTTATCTCTACATTGTGAAGTATGAACTTCCCCTGGTGATACAGGCCTTTCTGAACATTGAAGAGAAAACCGGGTGAGTTGGAACTCCTGAAAGTTGGAAAGGGGTGGAATGAATGCTTAGGACATGGTGTTAATTTCCTTGGGACTTCTGTTCCTCACTCGTTACTTCCAGACTGTGATGAAGAAATCCCTTTCTCTGCAAATGCAGTTTTCACAACCAGCCCCCAGGAGAACAGGAGAAGCCCCCAGGAAAATTCCACCCTTTGGTCTTCCTTTAAGCTCTAGAATATTCAAAGTATTAGAATAAGAGCAAAGTGAATGCCTGTAAATTATATGACTGAAGCTGGGTGCTGAGGACTGATTAGAGGACTTCAACAATGCTTCAGTTAAGAATCCCAGTTTCTGTATCGAAACTGAATGTTTCCTGGACAGTACCTTGTTCTTATCATGTCCAGTTTATCCACACTGATCCATGAGGAAAGCTATCCAACAAAAGCTTAATATTCCATTTGGAGACCACCCTGAAGGATCCAGAGTGTCAAATTTGAGAGTCAGTTAATACAATGGAAATGAAATCAGGTGTGATACTGTTAACTCTTATTCTTGGTGCTCCTGGTGTACTTGGTAAAGAATATCTTATTATCATTGGGAAACCATACATCACAAAACTCTGTACCTGTTACGTCCAAGTTGAGTAAGAGTGTGGAGCTGCAGCTATCAGACTGAGAAGGCCAAATTGTGAATCTACCAAGCCTGTGTCTTTGGCACACTCCTCTGCAGGGGCGAGACTTGAACAGCACCTAATTAACAGGAGAAAAGGTTTAAATAGTTTCCACCTTCACTGTCTCAGGCGTACCCTCGACATCTCTGTGCAGGACAAGGTCACCCCTCAGATCTTGGAAGCATGTTAATTCTGTCAACATATGCTCATTGGTAAACCAATGACATTTGCACTGGCTCGGCTATGTTCACTAGATTGATGACAGCCGTATGCCCAAAGATCTGTGCAATGAACTGGCTGCTGGGCCCACAACCTCTTGGGTGTCAATAGTTCCACAGTAAGAAGACATGTAAGCATGATATGAAGATGGCAGGTATTGGGATTAGAATAGTTGAATGATTGTTTTTGGCTGGCATGGATGCAATGGGCCAACGGGCATTGTTAAAAATTTTTTTTTTTTATAGAGTCCCTACAGTGTGGTAACAGGCCCTTTGGCCCAACAAGTCCACACCAACCCTCAGAGCACCTACCCAAACCCGTCCCCCTAATGTACAAATCCCTGAACACTACGGGCAATTTAGCATGGCCAATCCACCTAGCCTGCACATCTTTGGACTGTGGGAGGAAACTGGAGCACCAGAGGAAACCCACACAGACACGGGGAGAATGTGCAAACTCCACACAGGCAGTTGCCCGAGGGTGGAATTGAACCCGGGTCCCTGGGGCAGCAGTGCTAACCACTGAGCCACCATGCTGCCCTTTTTCTGTGCTGTAGATCTCTATGACACTGATAACCAGGAGAGAGTCGCTGATGGCTGTGACCTCTGACTGAGTGTTTGGAAGAGCATTGGTAGAGGTGAGCAGGAATGAGAAAATCAGCTGGCTGAGAAGAGAAAACTGAGACCAATGAATTGTGCATCTTCCTAACCCATTGTGTTCCTGCACAGAAAATGCAGAGGACATTGTCACAGTGGGTCTCTCCTGCCACACCGAGCTGTATTTAACAATGCAGTGAGATGAGGAACATGAAAGATTTGGGCATGATCAATAGGCTTTCTCTTTATCTGGCTCCTTATTTTGAATTTGGATGTGTTATCTGACTCTGAATGATGCCAACATCATGGGCCTTAATCGCTGTTCTAGCTGTTGTACTTCATAGACGTTGTTGACCAAGTTAAGGGTATGATAAAAAATTAGAAACAGTGTACTGAGTTGGATGATCAGCCATGATCATATCAAGTGGCAGAGCAGGCTTAAGGGGCTGAATGGCCTATTCCTGCACTATTTTCCACGTATCTATGAGGTCTGCATTCTTGCTTCACCCCAGGGTTGAGGAATGGTGCTGCTCAAGTCATATATTGACCCATTGGCTCTATCTAATGGGGCGAGACGTCTGTCTCTTAGGCAAATAGCTACAGATTGCAAATCAGGAGGGAATCTAAAGAGCTGGGTTTAAACCCTTACCCAGTGTGGACTTGGGATGACCTTCTCCATTGGGGAAGCAAGGCTTAACTTCAATTTAGTTGATCATTCCTACTAGCCTGGGGCAACAGTAGGAGCATGCAGATTAGTCCTTTACAATAAACCTTCCTGGGCATCATACTCCATAATCATTCACTCACCCAGTCAGCTTTGCTTCCAAAAAAACCCCCATTTCTGCACTGAGTTAAAATTTAATTTCTGAATCTTTATCTCGAACAGGAGATCAGTGCTTGTAGTATCAAAGTGCCTACCATTTTGACAGCTCATTCCGTTGATGTTGCTCTGTGTGAAGGTTCACCATCTTGTGTGGCAATGTATCATTATTAACCATGACATAATTTCAAAATGGATATCAGACACTCGGGTGGAATTTGCACTGGGGCGGGTGTGTGGTGGTGTCCTATTCTCTTGATATAACACTGGCCAAAGATCAAAGTAAACCTGTGGGAGTGAGAGCTAGAGATCAAAGAAAGCCCTGTGGATATCTCTGCCAGGAGCTATGAACCAAATGGAAAAAAAATTGCTTAGTGTCACTCATTTACTACTGACTGATAATGGCTCTGGAAGACAGCAGGAACAGATTCACTGCCTGTCCTTTCAGGTGGAGGCTGGATAATGGTGTAAAAGGGACAGAAAGGAAAGGGAGGCAAATACATGTTTTTATTCACTCTCAACCAGAGTTATTATTGTGCTAAAAATACGAGTTCGTGTTTCAACAGGAAAGAAGTTGCTCAATGTGCGACCATACAATATTTTTGTTTAATCAGCAAGGTGAAGGTTAGAAGCTGCAATTTGTCCATAGCTTTCCATTTACTCAGCAAGGGGTAAGGATCACTTGCTGTGCAACTGTTTCATCAGGATAAGCGTGGTTACCATATGGCCTTTCAGTGCAACAAATGGTATGAAAATCAGAAGATCTTCCCCCACAGGGCTAAGAAACCCTCTCTTGAGGTGAAATAAGGAGGGTCATAAGCCCTCACTGTGTGGGGGACTGCTACTCAGCTGTGGTCTTCTCAAATTTACTAATTAGTGGCCCGAATGTGGGGTTGCCATCAATGGTGCGCAGGTTCTCCAAACTGGTAGCCAAGAGGAAGTCCAGGAGCGCTGAAAAAATAGCAGATGGTGTAATGTATCATTTGAACTACACAAATGCCAGGCAATGACCATCTCCAGCAAGAGAGATTCTAACCATCACCCCTTGGCATTCAGTGGTATTACCCCCAAATCTCCCACTATCAACTTCATGGCTATCACCATAAGGGGACATTGGTGTGGAGGGTTAATACTCTGAAGCAAGGGTTCAACATCTATCGTAGCAGTTGGTGCAATTTAAATTGGATTAATAAATAGAAATAGAATCCTTACAGTCCAGAATGAGGCTATTTGGCCTATCAAGTCTGCACCAATCCTCTAAAGACCATTCTACCCAGACCCAGCCCCTCACCCTATCCTGATAACTCCACATTTCCCATGGCTAATCCACCTAACCTGCAGGACCCTGGATACCATAGTGCAATTTCCCATGGCCAATCCACCAAACCAACACATCTTTGGACTGTGGGAGGAAACTGGAGCACCTGGAGGAAACCCACATCCCCGGCATTGTGAGGCAGCAATGCTGACCACTGAGCCACCATACCACCCATCTGGCATATAAAACCATTGTAATATTTGTGACTGTGATGATTATCATCGATCATCACAAAAACCCATTTGGTTTGCTGATGTCCTTTAGGGAGGGAAATCTGCCATTCTTTCCTGGTCTAGCTTACATGTGACTTCAGACCCACAGCAATGTGGTTGACTCTTAACTATCCGGTGCAATGGATCTAGCAAGCCTCTCAGTTCACGGTGGATAATGAGAGGTGGACAACAGATGGTGACATTATCCCTGACACCCACACACCTTGGAAAAATAAAGGCAGAGAAGGACTGGATCAGCCATATAAGTGTTGTGGCTACAAGAGCAAATCTGGGAACTCTGACACAAGTAACTCACCTTCTTACTCCTTAAAACCTATCCACCATCTGCAAAGCACAAGTCAGGAGTGTATTGGAATATACTGGAACTTGCCTGGATGAGTGTGGCTCCAATAGCATTCAAGAAACAGGGTGAGGATTGCTTGCCATGTTACTATAGGGAGCTGTCGTTTATTCAGCAGAAATAAGGGTTATGCTCTGGGCAACTGCTGTTTTCATATTTATTCAACAGGCATTAGGGTTATGCACAGTGCAACCATGTGGAGTTTTTGTTTAATCACCAGGGGAGAGATTAAGTCAAATGTCACACCAGTTGTTGTATTTGCCGAATGATGATTTCCTGTTTATTCAGCAGGTTAGCAGTTAAAGGTAAATTGTCGGTGGCAAGAATTGTTTTGGAGTTTCACCTTATTTACCAATGCACAGGTTAAGAAAATTAATTATTAAACCAGGGTGCAAACGAAGGCCCTTACCTGTGCAAATGCTGAAACAGAGTTACTCCTAAACATTTGATATTTGACTAGCTGTTCACAGAAATGATGCAATTCCCAGTAAGGCCTTGACAGTGAAGGGAAGAAGGCAGCTGCAGAGATGTGGAGGCTCTTCGCTGCCTGATCTATAAAGGGACTGTTCTGGCTGTCCCTGGCTCTGGTGACTGGAAACTTTATTAAGGCCAGGGGTTCCTCTGGTGGAATCATGAAGTTCCATAGTTGCACAAGTTTAAAACAGAGTGTTTTTTTTTAGCTTGTGTTTCATTTGCTTTTCTATTCGCCCTTCAACATCGCTGCCAAGGCCAGCATTTGTTGCCCATCCAAAATTGCCCTGTAGAAGATGATGCCGAACCATTGCGTTTTGAAGCAAGTGCAATCTTCGGCAGTGTTTGCATCAGC